TTGTGCTTAATTACAAACAAGCCTATCTTCCTTTGCTAAACAAATATAAATTTTTTTCTATAAAAATTACTGCGATTTATTTAATTAAAGGTTAACTTGGCTTGTTTATAATGAATCTTTGATTATATGTTTTTAATCATAATTTTCCACATTCATTTTTCATATTTCATTTATCTTTAACTCATTTCTCTGTTTCTCTGTTTATAAATGGTAAAAGCAAGAATTAACCCAGACCATTGATCACATATCAGCTGAATGTGCCAAAATTCTGTAGAATTTCCTGTTTACTTTTCCGTAATGAACGTTTATACTGATTGCTATCGCCATGCTTTTTGGTAATGTGTAAACATAATGTATAAGTTTTGGTAACTGTAGCAAAATAGAATCTTTAGTACATGAAAAAAAAAATTATCAATCATAATAAAAAGTGAGACAAATGGAAAGTACAGCAATAGATATACAAAGATTTCGTTTAATTGTGTTAATGCGCACCATAAAAGGAATAGCTAACTCTTTAATCAGATGATCTTTCAAGATTAGCATTTACTGTTATTTATGACAAAACACAAAATAAGCATCGTTTAAAAAGTTATAATTTCGACCAACATGTCACACACCCGGAGTTATTTCAAACAGTGTGAGACAGACACTATCTTTTCAGTTCTACTTAGTCGAAAATGCATAAGATCGTGAAAATAAGACAAAAAAATTCCAGCAAAGACTTTTGATATCAAGTATGAATATATGATTATTTCATAAAAAAAGCTGTTGAATCAGCCGCGAAAATTCCTTACCAGTGAACTTCAACATGGAAATTAGAGAATTTACGAATTAGAGTAAACAGATGCTCGGGCATGAATATATGATTAACAGGCTTACACTACAATTTTCAACAACAAAATTACACAAGACATCTTTAGCAAATATACAAGTTCACATGAGAATCTGTTACCAGATTGGGCCGGGTTAATTAAAGAGCACTTCCAAAAATTAACGACTATAATAAGTAAATTTATCTTTCGCCAACACTAAAATACCCATAAATTCTTAAAGTTTTCTGATGATATATTTGTGGAAAATAGTTTGCGACAATGAAACTTACTGTGGTTTTGGATAGTTAGTAATGAACTGGTAATATCTTACCAAGTATTTTAGAGATATTGGAATTGTGCATATCAGGACAAGCCTTAAGAATTTTTCTTCTTTCATCCTTGGCCCACACCATGAAGGCATTCATAGGGCGTTTGATGTGAGGCCTCCCCTCCGAGTCCTTCTTAGCCTGGCGAATAATCTTGGCTCCCAGTAGTTTACCTGTAAAACGTAATAAAAATGCTTTGTTAATATCCAGCATCTGTGACTTATTGTTCAAATGTTATACAAATAGAATGATAGATTCTTTGTTCCAACTGTATCCCTGCTTAGACTTGATTCTTATCCAAGAAAGACAGATTCTTTATCCCAAATGTATTCCTGATTAGACTTGATTCTTATCCAAGAAAGATAGATTCTTTATCCCAAATGTATCCTTGATTAGACTTGATTCTTATCCAAGAAAGATAGATTCTTTATCACAACTGTATACCGGCTTAGACTTGGTTCTTATCCAAGAAAGATAGATTCTTTATCCCAACTGTATCCCGGCTTAGACTTGGCTGTTATCCAAGAAAGATAGATTTTTTAGCTATGCTGTATCCTTGCTTGTATTTGGTTTTTATGACAAAGATATTTTAACGATGTTAAAGTGCAAGATTTTCTCTAAATAACGCCATTACATTTCCTTTACACATACAGATACATTATACATCTAATCTACGTTTTTATCTTTAAGGCTAGTGAAGTTAGGTAGATAAAGAACGTGGCTAAATATTCAATAATAGGAATTATGTATAAATTGCAATTTAAAGTTAAAATAAAAAGTGCCTTCCAAACTTAACTTATTCTTCAGCTCGTGCTGCACGATGTTATCATAAGATATTTTCACTTAAAATGAATGAAGACACAGTGTTAACTCTTGGATAACGTTGCTTCCACATAAAACAATTTGTATTTACTATTATGATACAAGTCAAGACTTATAAGACGAAAACCTTGAAACAAGGGGTAGAAAGCGACATTTCAAGTCTGTCTTTGAGATACGATGGGTTTTAACTCATGTGGATCAAAAGATCCGAATTATTTTTTACCCTGATAGGTAATAACAGTCTCGCCTTTCTTGTCCTCTTCGTTCGAGAGTGTATTGTGTGTGTCAATTTTGGAATTACAGGATGAAGCAGAAAACGTGCCCGTGTTCTGAGAAGTCAGGTACATCTGGAGAGGGAACTGTTTGTCACCTCCTGTGAAAGTCAGACCAGTAGGGGAAGACTGTCCTAAGCCAAGTGTTGTGGTTGGAACTCCTTTTCCCAACAAGGTACCTTGGATTAAGTTTGAATATAGTTTGTTTGTTAAAATTTGCGAACATTTATTTTACACATAAGTACAACGATAATACTAAAATAAAAATATGACTTTTTAAAAATTTGAAATTAACATTTCGAGAGCACTTATTAAACAAAACGTATAGGTTATCAATGTATTCACTAATTACAGAAGCCCTTCGCTGCCATCTGCTTAAGGCTTTCGGTGCCATTATTTGTCACTCCACGTGATAATTCGAGAATAAAGAGGCATAAACAAACCTCTCAAATAAATTACCTCTTAAACCAACAGGATATATGAAGAATTTACGTAAAAATTCAAATTTTAGACGTCACTTTTGTTATCTCATGTGCTATTCTGTACGTCGTGTATAAATCAGTTGATTTTTTAAAGATTCATAACAATTATAGAGTGCTATATAATTTGATATTCCTTTATTATATTAAATAAACTATCATCTAAAGAAATCAAACTTATAAGTATGACGTTTGCATATTTCTAATGATAAATGAGAGACAGTAATTGACCACATTTTTCACAAAATATAATTTACTGTGCTATAAGGACCTGTAAGAAACGTAGTCTGAACTTTTTTTTCATAAATCGTTAATAAAAATTTCAAATATATTTTTTGTGTAAATTTGTAATGCACATATGACATAATATTGGCTTAAATTCGTAAATAAGTTAGAGCTAACTAATTAAAGTTAAACTTGTGAATACACGATTTACATTATATAAATACATTTATATATTTTTTTAATGATTCTGTTGTATGGAAGACATTAGTATGAAACGACTAAAGTAGTTTCTTGTCTAACAACAAATTTATGATCAATAATGAACTAAAAATAGTATCAAAGAAAATTATATATTAAATTTTAACTAACAAATTCTTACCAGGATGACCAACAAATCCACCTAGCGGTAAATGTGACGCCGGTCTCAAGTGTGGAGGAAGTATGCCATAAGAATTTGTTCTATGAAAAAACGGCGAAGTTGCCACCTAGAAACATTAATTATAAAAACTGAAATAAAATGATTTTTAATTAATGTAAACATATTTCACTGACATACGTAAATTAGGTGGAACTGATGGCAAAGCGATTTAACAGATTGTGTACAATTAATTCCAGCACTGGTTCGGGTTATGCATATAATCTAAAATAAATAACTACTTACTAAATGAATATATCAATTTGGTTACTGAGCTATAACAATGCAATTGATTCACTTCCATTGAACTAACTTATGCATACTAATATAACATATGAAAAACATGTTAAAAGTTAGAAATATATAGAAGGTATTGTAAATAAAATATGCATGTTACAAAGCAAGAGGTACTATTAAAAAGTATACATGAAAAGGGTTGGAGTGATTGATATTTTAAACCATTGATGATAAAGACATATATCAATAAGATAACCTTAAGATAGAGAAAACAAAAACTTGCAATTTAGATTTTCAAAGGAACAACAATACATTTCAAGACTTCTTAAGAACGCTTTTTTAGAATGATCTCTGAATACACTGAAATATTAATCTATAAAGTTATATTTCGTATACCACAATAAGATCGTTAGAATGTTTTGTAGCCTACTAAGATTTAGACATTAATAACTCTTTAAACATTCCAGATTAATCAATAGTTAAACCAAATGTCTATCAAGGTTTTAAACAGCTTTCATACCGACACACTACTAGGGGCTACCGCCCCAAGTAGACTTGCTACACTAGACACGTGGATTGAGGGTGAAATGAACGAAGAAGTCACTTGGTTGTTGTTCTGACTTGGGGCACGCCATTTGCCTAGGTTTGGAGACTGTACATTTTCTCGTATTTCTTGTTTAACGTTAAGTTGAGGCGTTGGGCTGCAACTGACACTAGAATATAAACATTAGAACTGTATAAGTTTTTCACGTAAACACTTACTATTTTAAACTTTTCGATGCACAAAGTGCAAGAGAATGGCTGAATTCACTTGAACATTACAGGCCAACATAAAATCTGAAATAAAAAGATTTGTTTGTTTGTAATTAAGCATAAAGCTACACAATGGGATATCTGTGCGCTGCCCACCTCGGGTATCGAAACCCGGATTCAAGCGTTTTAATCCGCAGACATACCACTGTGCCACTGGGGGGGGGGGGTAAAAAGGAATAAAAAATAAAGCTGCTTACATATTTAAGTACATTCAATGGTTTAACAAATTATGGGTTTAAATACAGAAATTCTATAGCCTATAACTTTAAAGAAAAGGAAGAAGATTTAACGCTTATTAAATGCAGTGAGTTAATTGCACTTTATAAAACTACTAACTACGGAGGGTTAATTGCACTTTATAAACCAATGTTTTAAGCTCCTTAGTGCTCTACGAACTACTTCCTCCATCGATAATGGTAACTAGCCTGATGGTTATAATTACGCAATATAACCCAATTCTATTGTAACATTCTTCTGATACGGACGACGAAATCAATCTTAAACCACACGTTTTAACAAACTTTTTACACGTTCTTCATTATAGGTGTACGTAGGTTTACGAAAGCACATTCAAGGAAACCAAATGCACGTACGTTCATGGATGTACAGTTACTTGACTTCACAAATATCTCGGAGAAGGAGGGGGTAGTTTCATCTTTCATGGTTTGTTGACATTCTGCTGTACTTAGACATGTCACTTGACTTCATAACTATCTCGGAGAAGGGGGTAGTTTCATCTTTCATGGTTTGTTGACATTCTGCTGTACTTAGACATGTCACTTGACTTCACAAGTATCTAGGAGAAGGGGGTAGTTTCATCTTTCATGGTTTTTTGACATTCTGCTGTACTTAGACATGCCACTTGACTTCACAAGTATCTCGGAGAAGGGGGTAGTTTCACCTTTCATGGTTTGTTGACATTCTGCTGTACTTAGACATGTTACTTGCTTTACAACTATCTCGGAGAAGGGGATAGTTTCATCTTTCATGTTTTTTTGACATTCTGCTGTACTTAGACATGCCACTTGACTTCAGTTATCTCGGAGAAGGGGGTGTAGTTTCATCTTTCATGGTTTGTTGACATTCTGCTGTACTTAGAAGAGGGGGCGTAGTTTCATCTTCGGTGGTTTGTTGACTGTACTTAGACACGTCATTGACGCTTTTTCCTAATTTAGCCATACCTTTCTGGCGACCTGGCATGCATTGCAGGAATTTCATCCGGTATAATTGGCGTTAATACGCTCTACAGTAATAATTTCTCCATAGCGGAATTGCACTGTCGAATTTGCTGTGAATCCACATACAGGTGCTAATCATGTCGCTTGGCGCCAGTGTTCGGATCTGTAGCGATACTACTCTGTATTAGCGTAAGTGGATCGCTCTTATAAGGCAACCCACAACCCTAGATGTAACAGTAACTAAGAAAGAAAAGTATGCTATTTTATAACTCTGGTATTTAGTTTTACACCTAAGAATTGAATAAAATACCCCTGATTAAAGGAAAATGTATTTCAACTTAATATTAAACCAACTAGACTGAAAGTATAATATTTGAAAACAGGCTTGAATTGGATGCTCTTTGTTGATAGAGTATATACTATGACTTTCTTTCTGGATAAAACGTATAGAAAAGTACACTTATAAATAAAAATATAGTATGATAGCTTATTACTCTGTCTGCAAGAGTAGTATAAAGCGTGTCTCTCTCTAGCTGGAAGGATATATACAGTTACACTTGTAAATGGAAGAGTAATATAAAAGTTTATAACTCTGGCTGGAAGGGCAGATAAGCTTTCATTTATAAATGAAAAGTTTGCATGAGAACTTATAACTCTGAATGGAGGATTGTAAAGGCTTACACTTAAGAATGGAAGAGGATACATAACAATTTATAACTTTAGTTGTAGAAGGTGAATCAATTTAATCTAGAATAGAAACATCTCACAATTTATAACCCTAGTTCTGTTTCTATTCTATATTAAATTAATTCACCCTCTACTTATAACAATTTATAACCCTAGTTGTAGAGGGTGAATTAATTTAATCTAGAATAGAAACATATAACAATTTATAACCCTAGATGTAGAGGGTGAATTAATTTAATATAGAATAGAAACATATAACAATTTATAACCCTAGTTGTAGAGGGTGAATTAATTTAATCTAGAATAGAAACATATAACAATTTATAACCCTAGTTCCAGAAGGTGAATTCAGTTAATCTAGAATAGAAACTTATAACAATTTATAACCCTAGTTGTAGAGGGTGAATTAATTTCATCTAGAATAGAAACACATAACAACTTATAACTCCAGTTGTAGAGGGTGAATTAATTTAATCTAGAATAGAAACATATAACAATTTATAATCCTAGTTTTAGAGGGTGAATTAATTTAATCTAGAATAGAAACATCTAACAATTTATAACTCTAGTTGTAGAAGGTGAATTAATTTAATCTAGAATAGAAACATATAACAATTTATAACCCTAGTTGTAGAGGGTGAATTAATTTAATCTAGAATAGAAACATCTAACAATTTATAACTCTAGTTGTAGAAGGTGAATTAATTTCATCTAGAATAGAAACATATAACATCGTGTAGCTCTGGAGGAATATAATAACTTAAATATTTGTATGAAGAACAACCTTTGGTAATGAATGTATAAAGTTATGGTTTCATATAAAAACCTGAATAGCCTTAAGTTTCTGGATGGAAAGCAACGAAACCCTAAACTTCTAGACAAAGGAATACAAAGTTTAAACTTGAAATAAAAGTACAAGATGATTAAAATCCAAGATAAATGTATGGGAAAGTTTAAGCCTCTATCACAAAAAAAAAGAATGTTTAATCTCTAGAATATTAAAAAAACGTTAAACCTCTAGAAGAAGAAAAACGCCAAATCTCCAGAATAAAACTAAACGTTAAACCTCTAGAAAAAAACCACAAAAACGTTAAACTTATAGAACAAGAAACGTTAAACTTCTAAAATATAAAAAAGTTAAACTTCTAAAATATAAAAAAGTTAAACTTCTAAAATATAAAAAAGTTAAACTTCTAGAATAAAGACGTTAAACTTCTAGAAGAATAACAACGTTAAATGTTAAGAAAAAAGCCGTTAAACCTCTAGAAGAATAACAATGTTAAATGTTAAGAAAAAAGCCGTTAATCCTCTAGAAGAATAAAATTGCTAAATGTATAGAATAAGAAAAAACGTTAAGAAAACATAAACATCTAGAGTAAATAAGTTTAATCTATAGCAATGAGCATAAGAAAATCTAAGCATCTAGACTGGTAGTTACGAAAGTTAAACTAGAGATGAGAGTATAAGAAAACATAAACATCTAGAGAAAAGGGTAAGGAAGTTTAACCTGTAGTTGAGAGTATAGAAAAAACTTAACCATATAGAGTAAAGGGCAAGGAAGCTAACCTATAGTAGTGAGAATAAAAACGTCTTTAAAGTAAAGGGAGAGGGAAGAATTCAGTTTCTATACATGGGAGTATAAAAATAGAATTCTTCAGAATGAAAGGTATAAAGTCTCGGTCCTCTAGATGAGATGTTAACAAATCGTAAAGATCTGGATAAGTATATCATAAAGACAGACTTCTAGAAGAAAGTAAAAGAGAGTTTAAAACTTTAGACTAAAGAGTCAGAAATCAACCTGTTCTGTAGGCCAAAGTGTCGAAGTCTTAAATTTCTTGATGATATTAAAAAGCTTACTAAAACTTAAACGTATGTATGAAATGGTAAGAAGAACTAAAACTCTAGATGACAAAGTAACAAAGTTTAAGTATCTAGATAAAATTTAAACATTTTAAAAGAAAATTTGAACATTTGAATAAAAGATTACAACAGCTTATACTTCTTTATGAAAGTTTAAGAATTCTTTAACCCCTCAATGAAAGGTTAAGGCAGTTGAAAATTATAAACGATATGGTAAGTTAGTTTACAAAAGAGTAAGGAAGCTTAAAATTTCTATATGAACGTATCCTAAAGTTTAAACACTTAAGTATAAGAAGATTAAAGTTCTACATTATATGTGAGAAAGCCTAAACCTTGAAATAAAAGAGTAAAAAAGCTAAAGCCTCTAGATAAAATGGTAAGGAAGCCTATAGCTCTAGATGAAAGACAACGAAAAATGTTGAAAAGTTTTTTAAACATCTAGATGAAAAGATAAGGAAAGTAGTAAGTCCCGCACTTCAGAGGTGGAAATTGGCATGCCGCCATGTGACATGAAGACGGAAGTTAGGGAGAGGGGGGTGATGTCATCAAAGATGAAGACGTCATAGTTCCAAAAGTTGCGCGTTGTTAGGCCACCATAACAGGACGTCATAGTTCAATGAAGAGTCACCAGATGGTGCAACTAACCTAACAAGGACTAAAATTATAGCTGGATACTAGACAGGCTGCAATAATGGATAATTACGTAATAGTACCACAAAACAGAGAAGTGTTTCTATGCCGCAATTACAGGGGGCAATGACTCATATAATACATGTATCATCATGCCCATAATTAATCATTAATTAATTAATTAAATCATCCTAAAAAGGATGCTTAGCTCTAATTCAATTATAATCAAATCATCCTACCACAAAGAAAAGGACGTGTTTCTAGGCAGTTATGACTCATAAGTTACATGTCTCAACAACAATATAATTAATTAAATCATTTATAATTAATTCGTCCTTAGAAGGACACTTAACACTAATTAATTAGTTAATCCTAGAAATGACAGTGAACACTAAATCATTAGTTAATTAATAAATAATTAAATCATTCTACCACAAAGCAGAGAATGTGTTTCTAGACAGCCATGACTCATGCACTACATGTCTCAACAAGAATATAATTAATCGCTAATTAATTAAATCATTTATAATTAATTCGTCCTAAAAATTGATGCTCAAGACTAATTCATTAAATCGTCATAAAAAAGACACTTAACGTTAATTCATCAGTTAATTAAATTTCTTTACCATATATATGTCCCAAAAGGACGATATTTTAATTAAAACTTACTCTTTTAATTATCTATCAAGTGTTTTTAATGACGTGATATATTATTTAACGTAACATGATCACATATATACATATATACATTTGTACCACGCACACAATACATGTCTATATGTTTAAATCGCTCTAAAAAGGGCGATATCATGCAATAATTAAAATGTATACTTTGATGACTTTATACAATATTTTACATCGTCGATAAAACGTTTATTATGCGATAACACTTTTACTAATTTGACTTTATACAACAAAATAATTTACCCATATTACTTTATCTCATGTTTTACAAAGGCGGACTTTCACATATACTTAATTACCGTTATTACCAAAGGATTTTAACAAATATACTGTGATAGTACTTCTACAAGTTGTCAAAAACATTATTTAACGTAACATGTTTGAATGAGATTATAACTTACATTTTACTACAAACGATTAATTAATATTATAGAATAACAACACTTATCATAAATCTTTGATGACCACATTAGTGATATTTGCGTCAATGAAAGCATACAATCACGAAACACACACATATACATTTCTACATGTTGTTCCTACTGTTCGTTCACAAGACTAAAGAACCGTATCTGATGTCAAACCTTGATACTGTTTAACATTACTTCACATACACACAGTTATTGTAAGAAGAAAGACTAGACATGTAAAACTTTCTTTAAACACCTAGATAAAAGGACAAGAAAGTTTTTAAACACCTAGATAAAATGATAAGAAAATCTTTAAACACCTAGATAAAAGGACAAGAAAGTTTTTAACCACCTAGATAAGACGATAAGAAAGTTTTTAAACACCTAGATAAAAGGATAAAAAACTTTTAAACACCTAGATGAAAGAATAAGAAAGTTTTTTAACCACCTAGATAAAATGATAAGAAAGTTTTTAAACACCTAGATAAAAGGATAAAAAACTTTTAAACACCTAGATGAAAGAATAAGAAAGTTTTAAACACCTAGATGAAGGAGTAAGAAAGTTTTTAACACCTAGATGAAGGATAAAAGGGTAAGGAAGTTTCAATCTCTAAATGAATGTACAATCCTTTGTATGAAATGGTAAGAACGATTGAACCTCTAGGTTAAAGTATAACAAATCTTAATGCTCTTAAGGGTTTGTAATTTTATTTGGTTGGGTGCAATAATATCATAAGAAATATTTATGTTTTAAACTAAGTATCAGAGTTTTTTTTCTGAAACGAAATCACTCGTATCCGAAAAGTAAATGAGAGAGCTTCTGGGTATATATAGACAAAAATAGTAACACTTTAATTATATAACTTAACTCAATTATTGATATATTTTTTTACCTGCTTGTGTTGCTACCGCAGGATTTCGGTTTGCTTAAGTTCAATGGCACCTCGTAATCTGGGATTGTTGGGTCTGTAGACCTCGGGGTTGGAGTACTGACATGGTTGTTTGTCGATGCGGGGCTGGGTTTCTCGGATGTGAAATGCACAGAGTTATTGGGTGAGTTATAGGTCGGAACACCTGGCAGAGCTCCTGACATCCAGGGTTGAAGTTGAGACAGGAATGACTAGGGAAAAAAATATTTATTTACAAAATATAATATTTCAAGCAGAAACAACTGCAAAAATTATACGTAATGAATATATTGGTTAGAATTAGCTATTAGCGGGTACCACGGCTGTAAGACCGTTTGGGTTTTAATTTTGAAATACTAGTCAACAAAAAAGTAAGTTCAAAATAAATGTATTCCAAAGCGTATGTAAAAGACTAGAAAAGGCAAACTGGGCGGCTATAGAAACATTTCTACTTGTTCGTTCTTACAAATGCCATGGTTTTCATCCAAATTCCATATATAATAGTAAATAAATCAAATGTTTTTTTTCTAACGAAAATAGTCTCTATGTGCAAGAAGTTGACTACAAAAAGTAGAAAACTTATAAAATACTGCAGGACATATTACACAATTCTTAGAATATAGTTCTTAAAGCAATTCAAGTTTGTTTTTTTATCTTGAAAAGAAAAATCACGTATATAGAACTTTGCCATTGTTAGCAACCATACAACTTGCATAAGAAATGAGCTACTTTGTGTAATCCTCGTTCAAAAATGTCCGTCCCACGCTTACACTTCTAACAGAAGATAATGGCTCTCAGTCTATTATTATACATAGACTATAATGTTTGTACTAAGCTGCTGTATGTAGGCAACTACGTTTCAACGTTTCTCATTTCAATGATTATGTTCTCGCCCTAGATATTTACTCAAAAGGAACCCGAAAATCAATTTACCGGGAAAGTCTAGAGAGTTGTACAGAATGAAAGCTTCCAAACACCGACCCATGGTATCAAAGGAAGCATCGTGGCTGCATCACCAGCGCGTGATTTGTCTTTGCTTTTATCTTCTATTGTTGAGGTGTACATTATCTACATGAATATTTCATGCCTTAATGCAAGCCAATTGAATAATGGCCATTTATAACGCAAACAGGACTTCAGTGTTCTTAATATTTCATAAGCAATGCTTTCCCCCTTCTAGTTGGAGGAAGATCAAAGGCCACTCACTGTACAGTACTTAACTCTGATTTAATTTTGCTAGGCAATTATTCGAGAAGTGTGCCTAGTCTCGATTTTGAGTTCTGATCCATTTTCACTTAAGATTCCACAGAAACACGGTGCATGATTAGAGGTTGTTCGAAATACAGAAGTGCGTCATAAGCGAGTTTAATGTTATTGGTTGGCTCATAAAAATATCTATTCCGACCTTTCTCTGCCGATAATATAATTAGAATGTAAATAAAAATCTTTCTATTATAACTGATAATGAACAAGAAAGGCTGCAAATTTTTAGACTGAGAAAATCCATATACAAGAGTGAGTGATATGTATGTTTAAGATAAATATACGGATATAAATTTATTATTAACTTTACAAAGTTTTATTATTATTATATATTAGGCTTACACTGGTTGACCATGACAATAGATTTATTTTACTATATATAAAGTAACTAAGAACTACATAAAAATGCATATATGTAAAATATTAGTCACAATGCCACGAAGATTAATAGGATAAACATATACATAAAAAACTAAAACAGTAGCCTTGTCGCTAGGTGGATCTGTAGCACGAAAATATACATAAAGTTGTATTCGAGCAAATCAACAATTTCAAAGATAAAGATAAATGTCATGAGTATGCCACAAAAGAGAACTATTACCAGTCACGTACACCATTCAAGAAAGATATTACGATAATGGTAAATAATGTAGTATTCACAAAGGCTACAACAGAACAATATACAATTAAGAAAGAAATTACAGCCATGGTGCATATAAGACAGAAATATACACAAGGCTATCATATATAATTGAATATTACAAGGGAAATAGTGTAATACTCGTATATCATGGGAACTAACCATACTATAAAAACATGACACTACTAGAACATTATGGTCAGTTTAATCACACAATAAAACGTTATTGTACTGGTACTCAAAACGTAGAACTCACAAATACAACACATTCATTACTATAAGTGTACATAATTGTATTTTTGTTTGTTAGTTCACATGAAAGATACATTACACACAAAATTAACTAAAAGACCAGGTCAGAGATTCCTGTATGGTTTAGGCATGACAGTACCTGTGGATCAGAGGGAAGGCAACTAACTAGAAGCACCCCCCCCCTCCTGAAGTAGATGGCTACTATTACGCGAATAGTGGGTCTGACTGCTACTCTTATAACGCACTTAAAGCTGAAAGATCGAAACATGTTTGGTTTGTATCACGTCTCGAGCCTGATACTCTCGAAATCCCAGTCCGATAGGCTACCATCGAAGAACAACAGCAAGAAAAACAAAACAAAAAAAACTCTTCCATAGTGAGGGATTGAAAATGTATCTTATGAAAAATCAGCGTCAAATCATTGGTCAAGTAGTTTAGTTGAAATGTTGAGAACAGGCAGTTGTTTATTAGTATTAAAATATGATTTATAGTTGGTAACGAGTTGTTGAGTGGTATATTAGGTAGCTGTGCTGTAATAATGGATAATACATTGTTTATAAGATATCTCGCTCTAACTTTGTTGATCTGATATAAGTAGTATTTTTCAATCATTTCATTTTCTCATTTATGAGTGTTTTATCTTGTTTAATTTTTCTGAACATCAAAATGTCTGAACGTCAAACACAGAATCATAAGAAGTCTATTACGTAGAACGTACCGAAGACGGTAAACCGGCTGGCGATATGCTTGTTGTTATGTTGGGCGACTGTTGCGTGGAGGAGCTGCGTGGTAGTGATGGCACAGGCATGGGAGAAATAACTGTAGTCACCGGATTACTTATCCCCGGAACTGGTGCATCGGGGTGGAGTAGGCCTGGCCCACTAGGAAAGCCTCCTTCAAAGACAGGAAGAAACATGAGGCCTTGAGGAATGATGCCTGTGGTTAGTTCAGGTATACTGGATAAATTCTTTGATGCAGCCAAGTACTGACCACTAAGTCGAACCTAAGCATAAATAAAGGAAAACTCTTAAAACACACACACACACAGAGAATGGCAATAAACAGTACGTACAAAGAGTAAAATTTTGCTAGACACATCCAAACCCAGGAGGAAATTCTGAACTGTGTACTACTGAAGGTTAAATATTCTTTATAAGAGAGATGATCTAATTCCAATGTTGCGTTTGGAACTACTTCTTCCATCTGCTATCGCCTCAAGTTTAGTCTGATGAGCATGATTAGCATTAATGTTTAACGAATTGAAGCTAAGACCATGCATATTATCCAGTCTTTTCTCTGAACGTTGAGTTCATCTCCGCGACCATGTTTGAGTAGATGAAAAGCAAAAAAAAAAGTCCTTTGAAGCTACATCAGTTAACTTAATAGGCGTGTCATCAAATGGGATTACTGTGGTTCTAATTTCTTTAGCCATCTTTCTCATGAAAACAGCTGTTCGTTTCGAGTCTTCGTCATCTACAATTTCTTGCTTATTATTTTGTTAATGGTAATAGGGGATACGCCCGGTTCCATCAAAATAACAATTTGGGACGGAAGGTTCTCTATCATAATCATAATTTTCACCTTATTGGTGAGAGCTATTATTCTGGGGTTGGTTTTGGAGCTTATTGCTGTTGTAAATTATCTGTTGTGCAAATGTTTTCGCTTCCATTGAAGGCTTTTTTCTTCGAAATATTATGTTTTTGGTTTTACATCGTTTAACAGTCTCACTGTACCAACGTTTCTCTTCAGAAAAAGCAGTTGCATATGCTTCAGAGGACAATTTTTTTTCTTAGTGGCATTGCATTGTGAATAATTATGAATTTGCCATGAACCGAATATATATATATATATATTTATATATATGCTAAACATGTCGCTCGAAATGCCACGGCTCGTTTATCTAGCAACATGCCACTGTATTAGCATACAATTTCTCACAGAGTGTGGCTAATCCTTTTGTTAATTGTTTTTGTTGCTGTTCTATCAAATTATAAACAATGATATCAATTTACGTGGTTGGCTTATTGACCTGTAGTTTCTGTTCTATGAAATTCTAAACTACGTTATTAATGTACGTGGTTGATTTACTGACACGTAACTCTCGAATTTTTTGTTGCTGTTTTATCAAATTCTAAACTATAATGTCAATGTACGTGGTTGGTTTATTGACCTGTAGTTTCTGTTCTATCAAATTATAAACTATGCTATCAATGTACGTGGTTGGCTTATTGACCTGTAGTTTCTGTTCTATGAAATTATAAACTATGATATCAATCTACGTGGTTGACTTATTGACCTGTAGTTTCTGTTCTATCAAATTTTAAACTATGATATCAATCTACGTGGTTGACTTATTGACCTGAAGTTTCTGTTCTATCAAATTATAAACTATGATATCAGTCTACATGGTTGACTTACTGACCTGTAGTTTCTGTTTTATGAAATTCTAAACTATGATATCAGTGTACGTGGTTGGTTTATTGACCTGTAGTTTCTGTTCTATCAAATTCTAAACTACGATATCAATCTACGTGGTTGGCTTATTGACCTGTAGTTTCTGTTCTATGAAATTCTAAACTATGATATCATTGTACGTGGTTGACTTACTGACCTGTAGTTTCTGTTTTATGAAATCCTAAACTATGATATCAATCTACGTGGTTGACTTATTGACCTGTAGTTTCTGTTCTATCAAATTCTAAATTATGATATCAATCTACGTGGTTGACTTTCTGACCTGTAGTTCCTGTTCTATGAAATTCTAAACTATGATGTCAGTGTACGTGGTTGGTTTATTGACCTGTAGTTTCTGTTCTATCAAATTCTAAACTACGATATCAAAGAATCTGGTTGATTAACTGACCTGTAACTCCTGAATCTTTTGTTGCTGTTCAGCTAGCTGCTCCTGCTGTCGTTGGATTTGCTCTTGTTGCCTTCGCTGGATTTCGTCGCCATTTCTGTTGCTCTCAACATGAATCTAAAGAAAACAAAACATAGTTGGAAGATGTTCATTTTTGAGTTACATAATATTCATTGATGCGTATACTGTACTCATACTTATATGCTCACAAGTCCCTGTGATTTTCAATGAGAATGTGTAATAAAATTCGATAACCCAAACGTTTTCGAAAACCTTTCAGTCGTCAAATTAAAACTTACAAACATAGCTATATTTCTAGCATTTATGAGGTTTTCTAAAGTTCGTACTTTATCTGAATCAAATGCAAATACAGGTATTTTTAAATGTTTATCGTTTATATGTTTTTACTGAACATCATAAAACTTTCTAAAATGTATCTTTTAGACCTTTGAAAGATTTAAGAGTTAATTTGATTTAATGCAACACCTTAGAAAGGTGCAAACTTCATTTTGTTACACTGTTTATATTCAACGCACATCTTAGAACATTCCAATCTGTATAAGCTGTTTATATTCAACGGACATCTTAGAACATTCCAATCTGTATAAGCTGTTTATATTCAACGCACATCTTAGAACATTCCAATCTGTATAAGCTGTTTATATTCAACGGACATCTTAGAACATTCCAATCTGTATAAGCTGTTTATATTCAACGGACATCTTAGAACATTCCAATCTGTATAAGCTGTGTACACTCAAGGCACAGTCTTTCATTTCTGTGGATAATAGTGAAGTCTCTTTACTCTGAAATGCAGTGCCCTTTGACTCTACATTGTTCAATCCTAGAAATTTAGTGCGTGATCCATATCTACGAGCTTTTTAGATAAGTTGTTTGAAAGTTCTTAGGTGCAACATTGTCCATGAATCAATGGGATTGTTCGTTACAGGGTTTCTAATAGTATATGTTACACAAACAGTTGAAACAGATATAACATGAATATTGCAATTAATCATACTAATCAATACTAGGGTCCCCCGTGTATTTTATATAGAAAATGAGTGATTTTATGCAATTAGTTTAGCATTTTTTTACACTGAATATTTTAACAGCCAGAACGTAAATGTATTCAAGACGATGCAGAATTTGGACTCCACGAGCAGTGAACGAGTAAAAAGAAATCGTTAACAATTTCGCTATCCAAATATCATTCTTATGAAAGGAATGTGACACAACCTTATAGCCATAAGCTAGTATGAAGACATTGCACTGTCGGATAGTCAGGAATTCACCGTGAACAAAAGATATAGATACTTTTCATGTAATATAAAGTGGTAAAAATCGCGAATTATATGCGCATGTTGTACATTTCTTTCTTACTTACTGAAAAACATCCTTGAAATTCCAGACAGATGAGCTATAGCTGTTAAACACATTCTAGTAAGGTGAAAATAACAAAAATCCATAAGTTTACAGCAATGGACAGATACGAAACATCTAGATCAGTGATGCTTATTTATAGAACTATTCTTGGCAGCTCTAGTAATTGGCCGTTGTAACGCAAGCTTGCCATCATACCCTTCAGCTGTGGAAAGAACGTGGTTCATTGTTCTCTTCGACTTTTCAACTCGCGGCCTTTGAGGAAAAACAGGAAAACGGAAGGAACGGAAAATAGAGTTATTAAACAAGTGGTGAAAAATGAGGCACAACACAAGTGGTGTTATCAACGTGTAGTTGGAAAGGTTGGTTCAGAGAGCTACATAATGAAAATTGTCGAATGGTGTAAGGATGATGATGATTAACACGTTTATATTTCTTTCAGCCACTAACTTACAGTTAGTGAGGAACCACAGTAAATGGAAGAAACTATCAAAAGACTTGACATTATAGAAACTATCAGAAGACATGACATTATAGAAACTACCAGAAGACATGACATTATAGAAACTATCAGAAGACTTGACATTATACAAACTATCAGAAGACTTGACATTATAGAAACTATCAGAAGACTTGACATTATACAAACTATCAGAAGACTTGACATTATACAAACTATCCGAAGACTTGACATTATGGAAACTATCAGAAGACTTGACATTATACAAACTATCAGAAGACTTGACATTATACAAACTATCAGAAGACTTGACATTATAGAAACTATCAGAAGACTTGACATTATACAAACTATCAGAAGACTTGACATTATACAAACTATCCGAAGACTTGACATTATAGAAACTATCAGAAGACTTGACATTATACAAACTATCAGAAG